TAGAAACACCTCCAACGTCTGTTATGAATGGATAAACAAAATATAGTATATCTATACTGAAATATTATTCGGCCAGAAACTGGAGCAAAATACTGATAACATGCCACAGAACGTGGAGAAAGCTTGCAAACAGTATCCTAAGTAAAAGAAGTCAGACAAAAAAAGACCACATACTATAAGATTTCACGTACATGAAGTTTCTAGAATGGGCAAACCTAGAGAGACTGACAGTAGACTAGTGGTTACTTAGCACTGGGGGGACTGAGACTACAGAAGAGAGATAGCTAAAGGGTATGTGGGGTTTCCTTCTTATGTAATGAAAACTGTTCTAAAATTGATTGGGGCGATAATGGCACATATCTATGAATATACTAAAAACCATCAGTTCATACACTTTAAATGGGTGAACTATATGGTATGTGAATTATCTCTCAATGAAGCTGTTCCAAAAAAAAAAAAAAATCAATGCCCAAGTAGAGTATTCAAGGCATAGCCATTGATGCCGATTTTCCTAGTGGCTGTTTTTAATAGTTTTTTAACATACACAATGATCATGAATTTTCATCCACCAAAATCTGGGACATTAAATGTCATTTTATTTTTTCAGAAAGAAATTAAAACTCACTTGAACCCCCACTTGCCGAAGTATTGAGATGTTGAATTACAGTCATAATGAGGGTTCCCTCTCCTACTGCAGGGGGGATTTATGCAAATTGCCCAGGCTTGCGCCTCCGCTGCTTCCAGAAGAGTCCTCTGGTTCCTGGTCTATACTAGTTTACACTGCAGGGATCACAGTCTAAGCCTGCACAGGCTAAGCTCCTTTGGAGGAAGGTGATTCTGTTGCTTCCCTGCCCTGCTCAAAATTGGGGAATTTTGTAGAGATTTTGCAAATCTGGGACTTGGGCAGTCATTTCTCTTTGAGCTCTTTCTACTTTCTGGGGTACTGCAAGCTAGCGGGGCAAGGCTCTTCCACCTCATGGAATATCCAAAATACTAACCTCTTCCTAGTCTTGGAAAATCTCCCTTTGTCAGGGTGTGCTCCCTTTACCGACTGCCTTGAAAGAATTTTCTCCATCTTCTCTCTTCTATGGGAGTTCTGCCTCCAACTATGACAGACTTGCTTATTTAAGACCATCCCTCTGTCCGAGAACAGCTACACAAGCCGGGCAGAAGAGAAGAAATTTCTGTCTGAAGGCACTGAACGTTTCTAAGTGAGAAGGGGTGCCTGGGTGGCTCAGTCAGTTAAACATCTGGCTCTTAATATTGGGTCAGGTCTTGATCTCAGGGTCAGGATTTGGAGCTCCACGTTGGGCTACACACTGGGCATGGAGCCTACTTTAAAAAAAAAAAAAAGTTCCCACATGAGAATTTCGAGGACCAAATCACAAAGAGAAAGGAAGTACAGAGAGGTGAGCCTGTCATTCAGCATTGCTTTTCCCTTTGATGGGTTTGCTGAATAATTGACAACCAGGAGACTAACTGATCAAATGAATTCTCCACCTTTACCTTTCCTCCCTTTTAGACCATCTTCCACACTGCACTCTTCTTAAAAGTTAAATAACATTACCTCTCTCCTCCGCATAAATATTTCAGCGGCTTCCCATTCCCTCAGAATTAAGTGCAAACTCCTTACCACAGTTTAAGGAGCCCTCTCTGATCTGGTGTTTGCCTACCTTTCCAGCTTCCCTTCTCTCTACTACGTCTCTAAGAACCCCAGCTATATTCTGCAGGCTATTAATTCTTCTCAATTGCTTTCCTGTCACTCACTCCAGGGCCTTTGCACAACGTGTTCCTATTCTTTGGATCTCTTTTCGTCTCATATTCATTTTCCTGCCTTTCCTACTTCCTTTCAGATTATAGTTTAAACATCCTCTGGGATTTAGGTTTCCTACACACTCGGTCATTTACCTCCGTAGAAAGCAAGAAATTTGCCCTTTACATCCTGAAATTCCCTATCAAAGCACCTATCACACTTTATGATTACTGCTTTATTGTCTGTCTCCTTTGAAAGACCATAGGTTCTAAAAGGGCAGGAACTGTATGTGTCTTGCTCAGAGTTGTCTCCCTAGTCCTCAACCTGGTTCAAAATAGACATTCACTAGATACTTTTTAGATCACTTATTAATATTAGAAAACCCTCATATTTTGTCTTCAAGACAGTTCATCATACCTCTCTTCAAGACCTAGCTATTTTTTCTTTTTCTTCTAGAAGTTTCTAGAGAAGGATAATTGTGAATTGAATGTTATTTAAAATTTTTTAGACCCTTTAACATTTTCAAGATTTTACTGCAATTAAAATAAAAATGTAAGTGAAAGTATGAATATTCACACCACAGGCCCCTCCCCTGCTATCCCAATTCAACAGAGTTTAAAGCGCTTGCTTGCTTTCTCACATGCAAAAAAGTGTGATTATAACTACTTGCATCCTCAAATGACACTCTGGCTTTTCAGTCACTCCAGGATCCGGTTCAAAAATGGCCTTCCTTGTTTTCTGTAGCCTTTTGTGGCTCCTTTCCAGTTTTTATCACAGACTTTGTTTTTCTCTGCTTCCTTCTCTGCTTCCTCTTCTCAGCTCCAGGCACAGCTTCCTCTGTCATGTTCTATAAACCTGCCACTGTTGATGAGTCTTTTTATGTGCCATCTGAATTGGCCGGCTCTGTCTCATTACCTCTTGGGTTCTGTCTCAGATCTCTGTGGCAAACAATTTTTTCTTTACCTATTACTTTCTCTCCCCTTTTTACTCATTTCTTAATTTGGTCACTGAATTAACTCTTCAAACAGAGGGCAAAATTGAATGCCAGCACTTTGCCACCATCAAATTTTGTCTGCTTTGTTTAGCGTTGCAGCGCCAAAAACGGTACCTGGCAGCGCCAAAAACGGTACCTGGCACCTGATAAATAGCACATAGTTGTTGAATAAATGAAATATCTTGGCGTGTACTCTATGATAGGTGGCTTGGCTTCGTTTACGTTATTTTTGGTCCTCATGTACCAGAGATGAATATTTGAACATCATTGAGTACTTAGAAGTTAATAACAGTAAAATTTTCTTTCAATATATACACTGGAACCTGATTCAGTTATAGGCATTCTTTCTTGGCAGGTTCTTTCTTTCTGTTTTGTTTTGTTATTCTTCAAAAATGTAAGAAGAAGGATTTGTTTTGTTATTTTCATTCACAAATTAAGACTAAACTTCCTTTGGGTATAAGTCCTATTCTATGTTCTATAATACAGCCTTTAATCGGTACAACAAATATACTTACTTCATTTAAATGTAGACAACAGTAATAAATTCACCCTGTAAATCAAATCGCTGGTGTTTGCAAGTATAAGTAGCAAGTACTAGGCAAGAAGGGTTCTGTGGTCCAGGGGAAAAGACGCTAACGGAGCGCAGGGAAATTTCTGTGTACTGACGCTAATTTAAGATTTGGGATACGTGGAGATTTTAGTGAGTGCTGGGTTGTCATGAGGGGGTTGATGGATGAGAAAGGTTAGTTGGTGGACTTCAGGGTTCTGGAAGAAACCAGGGTGAAGGCATTAGGAGATGAACCGAATTAACAAATATGTAGTGAGATAAAGAAAAGGCATCAGGATCTTGGGAGATGGTGGGGAAAGAACCTAGAAGCATGAATAAAAGGAAATTGAAGGGGGAAAATAGCAAGGGCCAGGGCTTGGGTGGCAGAGTCAAGGAAACTAAAGACGCAGCCCCCGGGTGCTAATGCTAAAGGTGGGAAGAGAAAGCAAAGCAAGCAGGCCTCAAAGGGAAGAGGAATGCTCAAAGGTAGAAAGGAACAGTGGTGGGGTCCTCCCGTAAAGGGCAGAAACCGAGTGGGTAGGATTCTCCCTCAGAGGGCAGAAACAGAATCCTGAGCCAAACGATGCAGCAGTGTGGGTAGGTGGGTCAGCAAGGGGAGAAGAGATCCAAGGCGTTCGAATGCGTCTGTGGCTGGCTGGCTGGCATGTGATGCAGCCTGGGTTTTTCGGAGGTTTTCGTAGAGAGCGCTGGGGTTTAGAGTATGGGTCCTAAAAATACGTTTCAGAGGCCCAGGGTTTTGCAGTGTAAGAGTTTGGTAGAGTTCGGTCACGTTTGGTGGGTGCAGGTGGCCAGTGACGGAAGGAACATTCAGTGAGGGCTGGGAGTCGATTTTAGCCGGGTTGGGGTGATTTCAGTGGGACTTGGAGGGATTTGGGTCGGGTTACGTGGGGGTGATTTTCGGCCCGAGTGGGTCCATGTGCCCAGTGTGGGCATGAATTGAGGTGGGCGTTGGGGTGTATTTCAGGCAGCGCGGCGGGCGAATTTCCGTGGGCTGACTGTGGCGCATTTCAGGCCGCGCCGGCGGCGAACTACAGCCGCAGCCGAATGAGTCCCACCCGGGATGGGGTACGTCTCGGGCGGGCGCGCGGGGGCGAGCCAGGCCTGGAGGGGAGTCCCGCTGGGGCTCTGAGCAGCTTCGCGGTGCGAGGCGGGGGGGCACCGCCGTCAGGGCTGGGCCGGACCGACGGCGTGGGGACTTCGGGGACGTTCCGTGCGGCGAGCTGCACTTCGCCCCCGCCCGTCCCGCTCCCGGGGGAACCTGTTGCTGGAGAAATGGGCGGGCGGTGGCGACGGCCGAGGACCCTCCCTCGCCTCCGCCCGGGCGTCTGGGCGGCCCTTTCACCCTAGAGACGCGCCGTAGCGCAGCCCCTCCCTTCTCTAAGTGGAAGAAAAAAAAAAAAAGTCGCCTGCCCCCCCGCCCCCAACCAGCACCCGCGCCCGTCCTCGGCGAGCCTGGGGCGGCCCGGGCCGCTTCCGGGAGCGGAGGCGCGGCCCCGCGGGCCGGAGGAGGCGGAGGCGGAGGCGCAGGCGGAGGAGGAGGCCAACATGGCGGCGCGCAGGGCTGGGCCGGGCCGCCGCGGCGCCTGAGCGCCCCACCGCCCTCGCTCGGCTTGCGGCGTCCACGCCCGCGCCCAGCCTGGCCCGGCGGCTGCAGAGCGCGCAGGCCGGCAGCGCAGGGGTCCGCTCGGGCGCGGGGGCGGCGCGGAGGGAGCGCAGCGCGGCCCGCCAGGCCGGGGAGCCGCAGCTTCGCTGCCCGCCGGCCGGCGCGGCCCTGAGGCCCGAGCCATGGAATCGGAGGAGGAGCAGCACATGACCACGCTGCTGTGCATGGGCTTCTCGGACCCCGCCACCATCCGCAAGGCCCTGCGGCTAGCCAAGAACGACATCAACGAGGCCGTGGCGCTGCTCACCAACGAGCGGCCGGGCCTCGACTACGGCGGCTACGAGCCCATGGACAGCGGCGGCGGCCCCAGCCCCGGGCCCGGCGGGGGCTCTCGGGGCGACGGCGACGGCGGCGGCGGCCCCTCCCGCGGCGGGAGCACCGGGGGCGGCGGCGGCTTCGACCCCCCGCCCGCCTACCACGAGGTGGTGGACGCCGAGGTGAGGAGGGCGACCGTGACCCCGCGAGAGAAGCCACTGGCCGGAATTCCATGGGCAGGGGGACACACCCCACTGGGCTGGGAGTGCGGAGGGCGTGTGGGGGGCGGGGGTTAGCTCGGAAACCGAGAGAATGGAGCCCCGGACTTGGCGAGGGCGGAGGTCACCGGACCGGGGTCAAGTGGGGAGAGGGACTCGTAGGGGAGGGGCTGAATGGGCTTTAGGGACGCGGGGCAGGGCTGCGCGGCAGGGTGGGGAGGGGTCTCGTGGGCTTCGGGCTAAGCGTGCCGCAGGGCCGGCAGGTCGGGGATGGGGAGGAGGGTCCGAGGCTAGTAGTACCTGCGATGGGCGAGAACTGACGCGTTAGCCTGGAGTGTGGGATGGGGAGGACGCGTGTATCAGGGGTCAGAAAAGGGGTGCCAGTAGGCTAGGCTAGGGTCGGCGATTTCGTGGCTTCGGCTTTCAGTGAAGGAGTGGGGGAGGCACCGGGTTCGGAGTCAGAGAAAAAGTGGGATGGGCCAACCAGAGTAGTGGCCTTTGCTAGGGTCAGGGGAGGACTGCTGGTGTTAGGAATGAGCTTTGGGTTTTAGTCAAGGGCCAGAAAGAGAGGAGATTGGACAGGGTCTAAAAATGAAGAGGGACAGGGCACGGACCCGGGATGACAGGAATTGATACAAGGTGGGGGAGGGGGCTAGCTGCAATAAGGTCTGGATTGGGGGGACCGACGTTAATAAGGCCAGGTGGGGATTGGACTGAGGAGGCTAGAGGTCAGAGGCCGGGTCAGGAACAGGCGCTGAGGAGGCCTGGAATTAATTGGAGGATGAAACTGGGACCTGGTCTAGGTAAGGGGAGTACTGGTCATAGGCAAGGTCAGAAATGAGAGAAAACTAGAGGTGAAAAGGGATTGCAGTCATACTGAGGGTGCTGTGCAGAGGGACAGGGAACAGGGTGGGAGGGAAATGAGGAGTGGAGGAGTCTGTTAAGGAGAAAGGGCCATCTAGGCGAACGGCTCTGAGCACAGATCTCAAGCCTGGATGGAGAAAATCAGGCCTGTTTGGGATGTGAGCAAAGAACATGGGTGAGAAAACTGACTTTAACCAATTTTAAAAAGGATCAACCAGAAGCACCAGGGCCTGAGAAATAATTGCTTTGCAGGAAGATGGCAGCTCATGTCAAGAATTTTGGTCAGATTCGTTGGATAGTGCATTTTGGGTGGACAAGTAGAGCAGCTTGGCCTGATCCCAGAAGAGCTCAGAGCTCAGATTAGTGGGCTTCTGTTTTTAAATGGAGATCTGAGTTTGGATAATTCTTAAGCTAAGCCTTCTGAAAGAATTTTTCCTAAATTGTGTTCTATCCTTTTAATTACGTGCTTTTGCAGCAGTCGCTCGGGCTGAATGAAGTAGCTTGGAAAAAACGGTGGCACTTCAAAAAAGCAGGTTTCTTCACAAGATTTCTTAGGTTCCCAGACTTCCACACACTTGATTGATTGCCCTCAGTTACGCTGTAACTTGGCTGTATCATTGACTAGTGTATGAAAGCAGAGATTGTTATTATTCCTCATTTGGGACAAAAATCCCACATAATTAAGGAACTGTACTTAAGTCACTTTAAGAAATGAGCTTCTCTTTTCGAGTCCCCGTCACTCCTCTACTTGCTCATTCCAGTTTTGACCCAGTTTTGAAATCAAGAAAGCCGTTGCTTTCTCTGAAGGTATTGGTATAACTGTGAAATTCAGTGTATCTTCATTTTGTGAGAAATTGTATTCTTTTTTTCCTTGGTCACACCTTTTCATTGCCTATAATTGAAAAATCAAGTTAAATAATGCTTGGTGGTACTCCAGCATTAAGTGTACTGCTTATAGATTTAAGTACAAAGAAATGGGCCTGGCCTCTTTTCACATGAATGACAGGCTGAGGAGTTTGCTTTCAGGTAAAATCCAGAGAATCTGTATCTTTTTGAGGAATGATGTCAAGTTTTCATTTCCTCTTGACCTGTGGATTTGGCCTGGGGAGGCTGTACCATTTGATTTTGAGAGTCCAGGAGGGGCTGGTGGCCGAGGCTGCTTTACCCAGAAGCATATTGGCAGGCTACAGGCAGACACTTTACTGGCACACAGCGGAGCCTGGTGAGAACGTTTAACCCAGTTTCTGCGGGTACTTTACAAATCTCCTGCCCGCCACCTGTGCACCTCACTGGTTGGTCATCTTGCTGTAGACATTGGGAAACTGAGGCTTTTGATCTGGGACATAGGTCAGGGTGCTCATTGTTGTTGAACATCTCCAACGTGTCGGGCACTGTGTTAGGTGCTTTATACATTCTTTTAATCCTCAGCGAGATAGTTCCTAACATCACCGTTTTAGAGATATGATTCGTTGGTGGCAGTCTGGATTTGAACCTGAGCTCCTTGACTTCAAGAACAGTGTGCTTTTTACTGTTCTCTACTCGTGGTTTTAGGATCAGATTCATTTTAGGATAAGAAGGAAAAATAAAGGGGTGGGGGAGACAGTTTTGAGGCTGCTGAACAAGTCTAGGAATGATATGGCAAGCATTGAATCATGGTATTAGGAGTAGAATGATGGGTGGAATGAAAGAATTAGATCTTTTAAGTGGAAGGCTTTAGAAATTAGTAATTTGTTCAGCTCCTTTGTTTAAATAGACAGCCTGGCAGGGCTCAAAGGGGAAGTGACTTGTCCCCACAGAGCCAGTTAATGGAAGAAATGGGACTAGAACTCAGGCCTTCTCCCTGCATGGCCCATGCACTTTCTCCCTCCCAGCTATACCTTTCAGATGAAGAGGGGTCAGGATGTAGCGATGTGTTAATGGGGAGGAAGAAAAGGTGAAGTTTGTCAGCTCTTGTATAGTCTACCCGTTTTATTTCTTTTCTTTTTTTTTTTTTTTAGATTTTATTTATTTATTTGACACAGAGAGAGAGAGATCACCAGTAGGCAGGCAGGCAGAGGAAGAGGGAGAAGCAGGCTCCCTGCTGAGCACAGAGCCCGATGCGGGACTCCATCCCAGGTCGTTGAGATCATGACCTGAGCCGAAGGCGGACGCTTAACTGACTGAGCCACCCAGGCGCCCCTACCTGTTCTATTTCTTAAAAAATGAGTACCTGATTTTAAATTCTGTAAAGTTATTTTTGATGCACAGGAAATTTTGGCATTAGTGTCCTCTTTAAAATGTTTGGGAATATACAGATTAAAAGATAAATGTTGAAAAAAGAAAAAATGACTACATTTTTATTTGTCACTTGGGGACAGCCAGTAAACATTCAGTGCCTTCCATGTCCCCGAGGGGGTGAGAGTAGATGAACATGAAGGTTACATTCTTGTGGCTCTCAGTGCAGGCCTCTTCATTTTACAAGCAGTGACTTCCCAAGGTCATGTAGTTAGGTAAATCAGTTTAGTAATTTGGGCCCATGCTGTAATTAGGATTTGGTTTAAAAATTAAAATTTGGAAAATAAAAGCAGTTAACTTCTGGTTCAGAAAAAGCAAAAAGAATGCAGATAAAAAAAAAGCCCAGATATCTAACAGGGGGGGAAAAAAAACGCAGAACACCCACATATCTAACAGAACATATAAAACCGCTCAGAAAGCCACCTTTTCAATATCCTCCAGTTAAGTGAAGGTATTGCTTTGCACAAGTTGTGTTTGGTCGTTGCTACTCTTGTTGGATAAATGTAATTCATGGTCTCCGTGTCTGGAAGGCATTTTGAGAAGCTATCCAGCTTAAACTTTGAAAAGCATTACTTCAAAACCTGTCCAAGGCAGATAAGAGTTTGTTCTCTTATTTAGGAGAATGAAATCTCACAGCTGCTCTAAATAACTTATCCAGATGTTTAACACCCCACTCAAAATTCTTCAGTGTTGGGGTGCCTGGGTGGCTCAGTCGTTAAGCGTCTGCCTTCGGCTCAGGTCATGATCCCAGGGTCCTGGGATCGAGCCCCACATCGGGCTCCCTGCTCAGAGGGAAGCTTGCTTCTCCCTCTCTCACTCCCCCTGCTTGTGTTCCTGCTCTCGCTGTGTCTCTCTCTGTCAAATAAATAAATGAAATCTTAAAAAAAAAGAATTATTCACTGTTTCTTACCCTGCTGGCCTCTGCTAAGGGCATGCCTACTGGTTCTGTCCTTCACGGAGCTAGAGAGCTGGGAGAATCCTTTGATAGTATGTGGTAATTATAAATGAATTAAAATTTTAATATCAGTACTTACATTAAAGTTTATATTAAGATTCATGTTCTTTTTTCCCTGAAATATAACAGTCCTAGTACATTTGAATGTGGAATAAATATCAAATAAATTTTAGTTAATTATTAGTGATTTGAATACATGACCTTAAATATCATGGCTTACTATGATTTGATTTAAAAAAAAAAAAAAGGAAGAATCCATGTAAAGGTTTTAAAGGAAAAAGTAAAATAATTCCAAAAAATCAGTTGAAAGTGATGAAATAAAAATAGGGAATCTGCAAGGTTAATTAATTAGCATAGCCTAATTTTTACAACAAGAATTTCTTTATAATCTAGTATATGAATCTCGTTTGGGAATTAGGCCTGTGAGTTCATCTAACAGTTGAATTCTTACCTTGTAATTACCTGGCCATATGCTGTTAGAATGAGCGTAATTTGGCATGAAGGAAGTACCTTTTGTATGTTGGTGAGTGTAGTTCTAGTGAAATCATAGTAGGTAGTGACAGTTTTATACACCATAATAATGCTGTTAGCTTAAAACCAGTTGCAGTATCAGAAAAGCAAATTTTTTAATGTTTTAACAATTTGAAGAAAGGATTTCAGCTTCAGTACAACTTAAATAGCAGGTCAGTGTACTACATACTTTTGTACTTACTGGCCAAATATCATGTAACATTGATTTTATTGGAATCCGAGTGTGAAGATGAAAATTTTTCACTTTCAGTAAGAACTGTTGTATTTAGAAAGATTTAGCCAAATAATACTTTTTATATCTCGAGTTCAGTTTTCCAGGAATTTTTTCCCATTTGGAACC